AAAAGACCTAAAGTACCTTTGGAGTATTGAAAATGGTATAAAATTACCCTTCATCCACATATTGGCTTCAAAATGCCTTTTTCATCAACCTATTGGTTCCAAAATACCCTTGTCATCCACCTTTGTGTTCAAAATTGACCACTTTTTTAATTGTTTTAAAATTAAACTCTTTAAATATTTTTTAAAATATTTGGCGTTCAACTATTGGTTATAATTTTAATTTATTAATATAATTTATGAACCAACCCAATACCCACTCATTACTAGTTAAACCTTACCCAATTAATAATCCAATTATAATATCAAAATCGTCATAAAAACTACTAAAACACGATGAATTTATAGATACCTAAAAATGACATTCAAAATTATTCGAGTCCGAATCGAAGCCCCAATTAAATTTAGGTTGAGCCGCTTATTTAGGAGGACACTTTCTTTCAAAATTGAATTAGAAATTTATGATTAAAGGTCAAGAAGTATATACATCCCAAATTAATTCATGCACTTTTTTTTAAATATAATTTGATAAATATTTATGATTTGTTTTAAAACCTTTAATATATTATTTTGAAAAAAAAGTTAACTACGAAGTAACATCACATAATTGAGACGTAAGAATAATTAAGATGAACATAGTCAAACTTTTAAGTTTATCGTTGATATTTAATTAGCCACTTGAATGTATGATAATTTACTTCTATAATTTTTAAAAACACCAATTGGTAGTAGCTAGCATTAATAATGTGACAGGTTTATTAATTTAGAGGGATTTAGTTAGTAATGGGTGGGTAGTTGATTGATTTATAAATTATACTAACAAGTTAAATTATAACAAATTGTTGAGCGTCACGTATTTTAAAAAATATTTAAATAGTTTAAATATAAAACCGTTAAATAAGTGGTCAAGTTTAAACCAAAAGGTGGATGACAAGGATATTTTGGACCAATAGGTGAGTGAGAAGGATATTTGGAACCAATAGATGGATGGAGGACAATTGTACCATTTCCAATACTTTAAGGATATTTTAGGTCATTTTCCGATAAAAAAATTGTATCAGATAGTTGGTACTCCAAGTTAATTTGTGGTCCATGTTTTAGCATCAAATGCTCTTGGTAGCTTCTTATATCTCGTGCAAATTTTATCTAATACCATTATAATTGTCTATTCATGATTGAGAATGTTTTTTGTTTTTTTCGAGTCACTATTTTATTGCCACTGAACTGAAAGGGACATCTTGTACAAGGAGGGGGTTAAGTTAGCCTGATTATATAATTGTAACAAAAAAACAAGCTAATCAAATTGGTCATGGTTTAAATAGTCCAGCGCGCTTTGGTCTTTTTCTCAACCCAAAGTTTTTTTTCTATCATGATATAATGAGAAATTTGTGTTATAAAAACGTGTTTTTTCATTAAACTAGCTCATTGAAAAAATGCATGTTATAAATAGATTCTCATTAAAATAGTAGAAAGTCTCCAAAATTTTCCTCGTAGAAACACTTATATTTTAAATTTTCTCACTATTTCGATAAAAATTTTATAGTAAATTTAGTGACGTTCTTCGCTTTCAACTAAACTTTTGAGTTTTGATCTCCTTCATTCACATCATCCACTATGGCACTAATTTTAAGTCATTTACACGATAATGTAACTTAGAAAAATAGATTAGTACATGCTATGACTTCTTAAGTTTTACCTAGGGTAAGAAAAATCTTTACAATATTGTTTATGTATATCACTTAAATTTGTTTTAAATAGGTTTATAAATGGGTTTAAATAATTAGGTAGATCTTGACTATCTATCGTTCTGAGTGATATGTCTGTTTATTTGATAATTATTAATTAAAAAAAGATAGATTATGAGATTGAGATTAACTACTATCCACCGACAAGAAAATTATACCGTCATTTTATTTTTTTAGAAATATGAATTTATTTTAATCTAATTTTTATATTTTCATAAATAAAGATTAATGATTTTTTAGTTGCTCTTTTTTTTAAAAAAAAAAACACGTTTACAGATTTAAGATTTTTTTTTTTTTGAAATAATGTTCAAATATTTTTTTATATTATCGACTTTGAGTATTACTGAAATAAATTGATTTGAATACAACTTAAATAAATTGGAATACATATGAAGGTATATAGATCAAAATATGTTTTTCTAGTGTCAATCGAATGAACTAAGAAGAGAAAAGATAGTTTGAAGCAATGGAAGCACCTATCCAAAAACTTTTTCATGTTAAAAGAAAGACTTAATAAGTTATGAATAATTTTTTATGAGATTAATTAATCTAGATTTAAAAAGAAAAAAAGAGAGTAAAAAGTTACCATTGATAATTTGTCTCAAATTGCTTTAATGGTGTTGATGGAGAACGAGGTGAAAATAATGAGGACAAGAAAGCGATGAAATGCTTTCTTTTTATTATATAAATATTAATAATAAGTGAATATATTAAGAGAAATAAGTATTTCTAAAAATGAATTAATGGTGTAATTTTTTTCTTCTACCACTATTAGTGTATATAAGTTAATATATAGTGATTGAAAAACAAATATTTTTAGTTATTTAAAATTGAGAAATTTCTATATAATGACAAATATTATTAATCAAATTAAATGTTATAACCACACTCTAATTTCATTGTGCCCTGTAGCAAACTGTTTACCAGTCACTTCTATCCCTCAAACTCTCACTCGCCACTCTCCCTCTCTTGCTCCATCTCTTGCTCGCTCCCTCTCACTTTTATACAAACACAAGTGTATAAAATATGTTTCTGTTTGTATAAAGCGAGAAAAAATTGTATATATACATGTATTTTCGTTCTCCTCTCTCCCCTCTCCCAGATCTCTCTCGCCACCCTCACCTCTATCCCTTATACAAACATAAACTAAATGTATAAATTGTGTTTCTGTTTATATAAAACGAGAGAAAATTGTATATACACTTGCAAATACATATATCTTCGTCCTATACACTTATAATTATACAATACAAATATTGTCTTGCCAATTTTTTTTTGTTTTTCTCTCTTTCTCGTTTTATACATACACAATTTATACAATTGATTTGTATACAATTGCTATCTTTTATATATGTATAGCGAAGTCTAACTAGAAAAAGACTCTCTCTATTACTTTGAGAAGAGAATCGTTGGTGTTTCTTTGTATATGTATAGCGAATTATACATCTTTATGTTTGCTGTGAAGCACAATTATGCAAATTTTACTATAACATACAAATATGAATTTTGTGTTTACTATGTGTGAAAGTTGATCTTTAAAATTTAAATTTTAATACAACATCTTTTTTTTTTGTCCAAGTCATCAATCCCCCAGGTAGAAATCTTGATCTTATTAATGCATATAATTAATAGTTAAATAATAAATATTTATCCAAATTCAAAAAGGTGTTAATCTTAATAAAAATAAACGACACTTAACTTTAATATAATTTAAGTTCTATTTATTGATCTGAAAAAGATACAATTTACTAAAACTAAAATCGTAATCAATGTGAACAACTAATATGCTATGCATATTGTGTAAAGGCTACATGATTTGGCATAGTAGTATCATCCAGCCCCATGAGCGCATATAAATAAATAATATTTATTTTTGGTCTTATCGTCGATACTGAGATATACCAATAAGGGAAGTGTATAAGTATTATATTATAAGGTGTTTAATATTCTGAGTTATGATGCTGTGTGTACAGGAAACATAATGGGAACCACCAGTGAAACTGGCTTTACTGAATAGTGAATTGTGGCCTCTTATACCAAAGTCATGCACAGTTCATTTATGTGATGCAACAACTTCAATAGTCTTTGCCATTAAAATTCATTAATACATCCTGCTAATCATGTACAACTACTATTTCACTTAATTTCTCAAGTCCCACTCAACGAGACGAAATATTTTTATTTTCTCATTATAGGTCTATTTTTCAGTTAGAAATGTTATAAATAAACGTAGAATATACAAAAGTAGTAGTGATAATGACATAATATTTTGAACAAGTTATTGATGATTCGTATCAATGCAAAAAATATATTACCGGAAATATCCACTAACGTCGTCCTCTTTTTAGATATGGTACAATTATAGCAAAGTTTGACTTTTCCATTTTCTTTCTTAATTGTCAAACCTAATTTGAGAAGAACATGTTATTCTTCTACTCTCTTCAACTTTCTTCGTAACATGTTCTTGTTTTTATTCTTTAATAAACTTATCGTATGTTCGATACCGAGGAAAATAATTTTTAGTAGTATTTTTTTTCTTTCATTTACTCGGACAATGTCTGTGTGGTGTTGTATTAACGAAAATAGGTCTCACTACAACACAAGTCCACAAGGTCTATTATTATAACCCTCTGGTATATAAACTAGATACACAAAAAAATTACCTTTGTAAAACTTTGTTGAAACTTGTCAAGTTGTAGTTGACCCTTAATTACTATCCTTGGAAATTGATAGAAGGAATGGATTAACATGTTCAGATCAAAAAAATATTGGTATTAATTTGTATGAGTTATTACATATATTATATGAAAAAAAATATTATTATAAAAATATTTGTATATAAATTAGACAAATACTCGGGAGAAGGAGGCGAAGGATGGGTGGTGGGGATAGGAGTTATGGAAGTTGGAGGTGAAGGTGAGGCCCGTGGAAGTAAGAAACTATTAGGTTTCTTAAAAAAAAAAGATTTTCAAAATATTTGACTAATCGGATATGAAAAAAAAGATAATATTTTTTAAAAAATATTTGTTTTATACCGAATAAGCCCTTAATATTGGATTCCTGTATGAGTTCTTAAAAATGATTTTGATCATTTGTCGACCAAGTATGATAAGTTGCAAACACCATGAATCTAACTCATGGATTAATTCTTCACGAATCATTTTGCAACTTCCATGCAACATATCGGAAACTAAAATATTTCAAATTAATGCAAAAAAAAAAAAATAGCAAATAGCGGTAGCAAATTATAACACAAGCTTTTCAGAAGTCAAACTAAACTTCTTTTTAAAACATAGAGAACTAACTTGTTCCAACAATTAACCCTTAAAGCAAAAGGGTTCAAAACAAAATAAAGCTTTGTTTGCTAGCTTAGTTTTATAATATTCTTGACATATACCAATATAACATTGGCAAAGTCTACCCTAAACCCTATATATTAAAACCAAAAAAAAACTACATCCTTACAGGATAGTGAAATGTTTTTTTGCCAAAAAAACAATCACCACCTGCAAGGATTTCCTTTAAGTTGCCTTCTCCACTAGCTCCCTTCCCCTTCATCTAACTTGTAACTTCTTTCAACTCTCCCCCATCCAAGACCACCTGCCGCCTATCACAAAAAAAAATAAAAAGATGCAACAAAAATAGGAGTAACTTATAATAGTATAAGGCTATTGAAACTTGTAGGTTCAAAACAAGTGTTTGGATAAAAATCATTTCACTAGGAGAAGTTTAAAGTTAAACTGGGATAAAGGAAGTAAAACACATTGCAAGTAGTATATAAAAATCCAATTCATAAACATGTGTAAAAGATGTTTTACCTTCATGCATTTGCGGAAGTTACAGCACCTTTGATCTTTTCAACGGTGCATTTGATGAGACTATTAACAGTCGCAACAGAGCCAAGGGAAAGCTTTGCAGTTGGGACTGAATCAACCAATATCTGAAATGCTACAGTTAGTAGCGATCCACCAGGAGAATCAATTTCTGAATTACCTCCACCATGATAATTCATCGGTCCGTCTGGAAGAATAGCAAAACCAGATGGCAACAGAGCAACATAGTCAGGGTCACCCCCACCTAACACCACGTTCATTGCAGCAATATCAACTGGAGCGTAAATGACGTAAGATCCTGTTACATCAGTTGTGCTCTCTTGGAGTATCAGCATGTTACTCTGGTTAGAGTTTGTTCCAGTCTGCAAAAATAGAAATACTTATTTGAGTATTTTTTTGCCAAAATTAATAAAAAATTAACAAACCCGGATATCATACATTGACACGGAGTAGAGAAACACAGTTTCCTGGATCACGACCATTTGCAATGTGTGCCATTTCCTGAACAATCCCACCATTTGAAAGAATATCCCACTGCACATATATTTAGCAGTGAATTAGATTAGGACACAATAAAACAGAGCGAATTTGATAAAAGTGGACAACTTAATTGAAGGTGAATATGCTTTACCTCATTTCTAGAGTTCTCATCGCGGAGAAAATCAAACACTCTCTTAGGAGAAACTGGAAGCCAAAAAGATGTTGCAGCACTCAGCACAATACCAGGAGGTCTCCCTGGATCATCGATACTCTTCCTAGTCATGACTCTAACATCATCCGCACCACTTCCAGACAAAGTTGTCCATATGTGAGTTGTCGATGCACCAACTCCAGCACAAAAGCTCATCACCATTCTCTCAGCAAGTTTTAGCATACTCTTTCGACCAGCTGGACTAGTAATGACTGAAAATTAGGACGAAAAAACATTAGTAATTTGCAATTGTACAGCATTGACAGACTAATTAATGAAAGAGTAGAGATTTTTTTTTTTTTGCTATTACTTCCAACATCTCCTGTTGGGATGTTAAGCGCCAACACACTTGCAAGGCGTTCACATTGTCTATCTAAAGTTGCTACCCAGCGTTTTGCTCCAAATGCAATCCCAGAATTGACAAGAGGTTTGTAGATGTCATGGACAGCATTTTCATCCACCTCAACGTGTTCAACCCATATAACCTACACAAATAACAATGTGTTACGGACTTAGAGTTTAATCATGTTCTAAAGAGTTTAAAATTTGAGGAATTTCGATACCCTTGAGTAACCATTTGGCATTTCTTGGATTAAACAACCAGATGGCCTTCTTCTGCAACGCGGAACTGAAACAGTGCGCAAGTTGTCCAGGGAAACATCAACCACTACCCAAGTCCCTTCACCATGTTGTTTACAGTATCTTAAGAAATAGTTCTCCCGAGTTGGAACAAGTGGAGATGGAACTTGAAATTCTGCTGTCATCTAAAATTAGAACATCAAAAAAAGGAAATCAATTAGAGTATATTTCATCTGTTTAAAAAAGAAGGAAAGAATTCAAACAAAATATTGTTAAGTGAAATCTGAACAATACCACTTGCAATGCTCCATTGTGATTTCCTGCGACACCAGTTGATAAGACTTCAAGAGTCATTGCTTTTGACACCAGACCAGCAAAAACAGTAGTCCATTGGTTCTGAAATGTACAATTAGTTAAAAATGTGCACAAAGTATTCGTCCGAGGAAGGTAAGGTTGCACATTAAAATTAGAAATCTTACCACATCCATCAAAATCTCAACTAAATTGATATGATTCATAATCACAACAGCAGATTCTCGTGAGGCTTCAGAATTGAGTGTAGCTGGCTTAGGTCCAAGGCCTCGAGGGAAAATACGAGCATATTCTTGCTCACATAAAGTCTCAGAGCCTGAGCTTGGCAACCATAATGGCTCTTCAGTTTGAGCCATCCTTATAAGTTCCTCCATTGCAGTAACAGCAAGCTCAATGACCACGGGCTTCTCAGCATCTGTAAGGCCCGTAACAGCAGTTCTTAGAAGGTCACCAGCAGCGTACATTTCTCCAAGCAGGCCCGATTGAGGCCCAAAAGCAAGATCCAGAACCCGAGGAGCTTCGGGCTGAGGAAGAGGAAGTTGATGAGAATATCCAAGGGCTGATTTACCAACATACTTTCCAGCTATTCCAGTTATCCTGTCAATCTGTATCATAAAACATAAAATAACTTAAAATTTCCGTCAAGTCACTTTGAATGCCATTTCATGTGAACTATTTTCTTATTACTCCGTTTTAAAATCTTCTTGCTCAGTCCTAATACAAGTGACAATGTTTAATTGTGTGGAAAGTTAAAAAGGTAAAATTATAATTTCAAAATTAAATTGTTTCTTATAGGCTAAAAAGAAAAATGTATTACGTAAATTAAAAGGATGAGGGGATTGTGGACGAATGAACGGAAAGGTGTAAAATGGGTCGGGGGCATCACCTTTATCAAAACATTTAGGGTTATGTAGGATTGAGTGTTCATCCAAACCGTTAAAGGCAAAATTTATAATCGGTGTGTTCACAAGTACTAAAATTAATAACTTGAAAAATGAGGCAGGTTTTCAATTAGTAATGCTCCTACCTCATCTCTAAGACGAGCATTTTCAATCCTCAACTGATGCTCATCAAATGACATCTCTCCTATAGCTGCTGGCCCTCCACAATTTGGGCATGCTGCATTACTCAAAGCTTCTTTGTACCTTATGTTCTCAGCGCGAAGCTTCTCATTTTCATTCCTCAACTGTGTGTTCTCACATCGCTCATGTTGAGCCTGTAACAACAATAAAATCACAATCTAATTATAAAGTTTTCAAGCACACGTACCTCAATCATCCTGTCTATATAAATTGAATGAATGTATTCATCTCAATTTTTTACATCAAATATATTAACTTTACATTACAGACAAGAAAAGAAAAAAGAGTTTTTCACCTTCATCTGAGTACGCTTGTTCTGGAACCAAAATTTCACTTGTAATGGCTCCAAACCAAGTCTTCTTCCCAATTCCTTCCTTTGCTTGTCATCTGGATGATTGCATTCCTTGTAAAAGCTGTACAATGACAAAAAAGAAACGGAACAATTGTTATATATAGTTAATAAATGTACTGTCAGTATATATAAATTAAATTACTTACGACTCCATTTCCTGAATCTGATTCTGAGTGTGGCGATGATAACGCTTCTTCTTGTTTGGAGGTTGGTTTGGATCAGCTTGATCGTCATCACCTGAATTGGGAGCTTCCATGTTATCAGCACCAGAGTTGCTATCAAACTCTTCATCACGAATGAAATCCAACTCGTTATCAGGTGTTCGTTGAGCTGAGGACGATATATCGAGCAAGTGCTGGTGGTTATTAAACATCTTGAATACCTTCTCGATCTTCTTCAAAATAATTTCTCTGATAAATTATTTCATCTGCAAAAAAAAAAAAAAACGCCCATGTTTATGATTTACAAAAACCATACACATGCTAAAGATTATATATACGGAAGCGTGGACAAAAGCAAAAGCTCAACAACATATGTTCAGGATTTTTTTTTTATAAAAAAAAATAAAAATTCACAAACATGTACTAAATGGTTAAAAGTGATTCATTTTTAGGATGTGACGACTTATAAATTTACATTTTTTGCTCTAGGGTTCCTTAATTCGTCATGCCACCATGGTTTAAAAATCAAAATCAGTGTATTTGTTGTTGAGAATTAGCTGAAGATAGTATACAAATAACACAAAAAAAGAAAAAAAAACGTTTAAAGAACAAATGGACTTACTCAAGAAACTGAGCTTCTCAAGAAGGCATTGTTGATGTGATGGTAGAATTTCACTTCTCACTGTATGATATATATATACACAAAAAAATCTCCTCAAACCCTAAACCCACCCCCCCAACCTCCAACCCCCACCACATTTTCTACTGACTTTCTTGTCTCTATGTAAAATAAACTTTAATTCTTTTTACCTCATTTTATTTTGGGACGTGTTTGTTTTTATTCTATTTTTTTCTATGTCTTGATGTGACAAAGGAAAATAAAATTTATTTCTTTTTGACTGTGTTAAAAGTGCAATGAGAAAATTTTGGAATAATAACAAAACATAAAGTTGACTCAATGTGTGAACACGGACACAGGGTCTTCTCTTTTTTCTTTTCCTTTTTCAAAAATGGGTAAAACATATATATAGCTCTCAACAACTAATATCTGGTAAAGTCCAAACTTCACTTCTATACAAGTCTCTCGACACATGAAAAAACAATAATTTATTTTGCTGTGGTATAATTTTTTGACGAAGGATGTTCATCTGAGCAAACAATTCAAGAGAGGGAAAAAAAGAAGAAAGCAAGTAAGAGAATGATGGAACAGTAAACTTACTATCTGTGAAGCCTTTGGATTAAAAAAACAACAAGTGTAGAAAATTAATCCAGATCTAGTCAAACTTTTTGGAGTCTGATTTTTTTTTTTGTGTGTGTGTGTTCAAAAAAGTTTATTGTGAAGAGAATTAAAGGAGCTATGGAGAAGAGGGGAAAAAAGAGGGATTATAGGGAACAGGTGGAGAAGATGAAGGGAGTTATTATTATAGCAGAGGTTATTGAGAGGAAGAAATAGCATTAATGGGAGGTGTTAATGCTGTTGTTGAGAGAGAAAATGAGAAGTTGGCAGCAACTCATCTTTGATGTTTAAATTTTCTAATATAGGGAATATGGTAGAAACAACTTAATTATGACTTCAATCTAATACTCCTATTTAATTTGAGTAGGATCATTGTAGATTAAAAGAAGGCAAGTAATTTGAGTAGGATCATTACAAATTCTTTCTCAAGAAGTATTTGATGGCAACAAATTTAAACAAGATATAAGTAAAGTATTGATTAACTTAATAATAGTGTATTGATTATGAAATCGAGCTTGACTAGGATCATTATAAATTAGGAGGAGGAAAGTAGATTGAGTATTAGGATCATGAGTAGATTATAAATTCATAATTGAAATTATTTGATGGCAACTAATTTATAGAAGGAAACTACTATTAAGGAGAGTAATTGATAAACTTAATAATAGTGTGTTGATTATGAAATTTAGTTCGAGTATGATCATTATAAATTAAAAGGAGGAGAGTAGGTTGAGTATTAGGATCATGAGTAGATTACAAATTCATACTTAGAACTGTTTGATGGCAACTAATTTAAAGTAGGAAACTGGATATATGGAGAGTAAGGGACGTTTGGTTATTGATTTTATATATATATATATATATATACACACATATATATATACACACGTTGAAAACTATAAATTAACTAAAAATATATTAGCAAATACATTATAAATAATATTTTTTAGCTATAAATAAAATAAATTATATATATGTGTATATATACAAAATTTTACAAAATCTAAAATTTGACATAAATATATAAAATTGAAAATCATGAATTAACAAAAAAAAATACATATTACCAAAGTAGATTATATGTAGATAATATTTTTTATCTATAAATAAAATAAATTGTGTTTGTGGGGGGGGGGGGGGGGGTTGAGTTCGGTTTGATTTTTTTTTTCTAATACCAAACCAAATCAAGAGTGGTCGAGTTTTTTTTCAATCGCCAAACCACAAGTCGATTATTTTCGATTTGATTTGGTTCGTCGGTTCGATTTGACTTAATAATTCAGTTTGTACACCCCTAGTTTTAATATACCAAATTTATAAATATTATATAAATTCACTTTCTAAATAAAAATTAATACATGATAATTAAATATGTGAATATATAATATATAAAGCAAATATATAATTAACATATGTGCTATCAAAATTATACATTCCTATTCATAATATTAATAAATATTTTCTGATTTTAAATGAAAACAAATAAAAAGTTGTTTGCATAAAAAAAGAAATGAAAATAGGTTAGAAAATAGAATAGTTATGTAAAGTTTTCAATAAAAAAATTAAAAATAAATTAATAGAGATAAATGTGTAATTTATCTTTCTAATACATGTATAATTACTAATATTCACATAACTTATTCCATCTTTTATTCTGTATAACTTATACATAAATTCCCTCATAAGTTCTGTATGTATTAATTACGTAGGATTACAAAAAAACAATCAAACACAATATAAAATTAATACATGAATAACTATTATACAATATTTAGAACTTATCAACCAAACATAGTATAAGTCATGTTGACTTTTCAACCTAATAAATTTTTTTTCCAAACATAATAAAACTAATACAATGTTTTATATATGAATAACATGTTCTCTTACACTATAATCAAACAGCCCCTAATAGATTAACTTAATAATATTATATATATTATGATATTTAGTTTAAGTATTAGGATCATTATGAGTTCTATCTCAGAATTATTTGATGGTAATAAACTTAAAAGAAGAAAACTAGATATAACGAGAGTAATTGATTAAATTAAGAATATCGTATTGATAATGAAATTTAGTTTGAGTAGGATCATTATAAATTCTGATTAATCATATTATTTGATGGTAACAAATTTAACAAGTAATCTAGATTAAGTAAAGTAAGTGATTAGCTTAACAGTATTGTATATAGTTTGAGTAGGATCATTGTAAATTCATATCATAATTATTTAATGGCAACAAATTAGAAGGAGAGTAGATAAAATTAAGGAAGTAAGTGATTAACTTATAACAATATTATTGATTAAGAAATCTAGTTTGAGTAGGATCATCAACAATTCATAATTAGATTTATTTTGGTGGTAACAAATCAAAAGAAGGGAAGTTTAGATTTAAAGAGTAAGTGATTTAACTTATGACAATATTATTGATTATGAAATCTAGTTCGAGGATCATCATAATTGATGGTAACAAGTTAAAAGAAGGAAAATAGATATTCATGTTAAAGAGTCACACTTATGGCTAATAGGATGGGTGATGTCCTTATAAAATTTTTGGACAAATTAATTCCCTCCTATATTATTTTTTTTAATCGAGCTAAACTCAAATTTCATTTCTTCGTAATAATATTTTCAAATGCAGTTTGGGTGCTTGCCTGGGACAAAATAATGTTAAAAACACCCTAAAACTTACATGTGACTCTTATGCTTTAACCATTGATACATTTTAGGGATAATGGCAAAATTCTTTTGAGACTTACATGACTTAATTATAATTATGTGACGCTTATGCCTTTATCATTCGTATATTTTTAAAATATTTAACGCTCAATGTCTTAGGCTTATCTGACCGTTCTGTTCATCTAACCGTTCTTACAAAAATCATATATCAAATTATTTAGTTAATATTGTTAAAACATCGATATTGTGACTATTAAGCTTTAAAGAACTTTTCTTGTTAATACAACAATTTTCATATTCTCGTCAATAAATAATATTATTTGTTACTTTCAAATAGAAAATCAAAAATATTTTTATACGCTTGAATTATTTGATATAACATATCTTGAGTTCATCAAGGCATGATTCTAATTAAAAGAGAATATGAAAGTTTATAATTAGGTAAAACATAAGTAGGTGATCTAATTACGCATCGTTTCTTTTGCTTTATTATTTTATTATATATTTCTGTTGAGTATTTTTCTTTTTTTAAGCTTTAGATTATAGCTTTTGTAGTACTCATGTATTTTTTAAAATTTGTTTTTGAAATACTTTTGTAAATTGTCAAAGGTCTATTAAATAACAATTTATTTACCTTACTCAAAGTAGGGATAAAGCTTGTACATGACTCTAGCCTTTCTACACTTCAGTTATACAACTACAATAAATATGTTGTTATTGTGGTTACTTTATGAATAGTTCATATCTATTTTGATGTTTTCTTTTCTTAGTTTATATTAAAAAAAAATTAATTGTTCTTTTTAATTTGTTAATTTTTTTTAATTAATTTATAAACTGATGAGTAGTAGTAAAATTTGTGACTCCAAAAAATATGGGCCTAAAATCTTTGCTTTACTTGCTTAAACACCTCCTATATAAAATGGAGAGATAATTTCTTAGTTTATATTTATTTTTAATTAATAACAATTAATTTTTTGAAATATATTAAAATATTATATTTAAAAAATTAATAAAATCATTATATAGATTTATGTAAACCAATACTAATTAAATAAATAAATAACTAAAAATGGAGGAATGTTGTACTAATTTTGTCAAATGCACCCAAGTAAAATAGAATTTTATGGGTGTATTAAAAAGTTACTCCTAATGCATTTTCTAATTTTACCTGCTTACAAAACTATGAACGTCTTGATCTCTTAATTATATTGGCGTTATGATTAATGGAATCATGAGAACGACATTTTAATGAATTTTCTTAGTATTTGAATCCTGATAAATTCAGCTTTACAAATTCACCAATATACAAAAAAGAAAAAGAAAATGAAGATTTTTCTTTTTATCATTCCAAGCAAACACAAACAAAATAAAAAGACAAAAATATTTCTATCTTTTACTTTTACAATACCAAGTCAATTCAGAATAAAATCGTTGAGGGTTCATGATCCATTTCAAGTTGATTTTTTCTTCGTCTTTAAAAGAAAGAGCTAATATATTTAGTTTTTAAGTTTATTCGTGATTATATATATATATATATATATATATATTCAAATCACGATTTATTTCTATTGATAATTTAAACATATGATAAAATATTTTTATTAAATACTTTTCATTTAATTTCTAATTTTTTTTTACATGTGCTCTTAAATATTTATTAGGCAATTAGATTAATTATATAAAATATATTGTGTCCACTCATTGTGGTCTATGGACATCAACCTCAACTGAAACAGACATGAGAGAGTTTTTAGTTTTTCTTAGGCTATTTTAAATGATTAAAGGAGATAATATATATTAAGTGATTAATTAATTTACATAATTGAACTCGAAAATAATTTGAACCTAATATGCATAATATAGTACCATTTTATCATGTTTTCAGGTGATCAATTGAATTAAATTATAATTTAAATGTCTAAAATAAAATTTAATGACACATTTATAGAATACCGATATATTAAATCTAAAAAAAAGCCAAAATAATTAAATTAAATTTTTAAAATTTAAAATCAAATCAAATCAATCAACCAAACTTTTATCACTACTATTTCGGTTTGGTTTGTTTTATGAATTTGATTTTTTAGCATATCCTTTAAAATATATGATGATATATTGGTAAACACATAATTTAGACTACGTTCCATCATAACATTTTTTAATTAATTACTCTTTAAGAAAAGGACATATATTTCTTTTATTATATTATTATAAGCTGGGCATATTTTCCATTGGGTAACAGTATATATAGTTATATACGGAGGGTGTCAAACGGGAATCCAAACATAGGTAATTCGTATAAATCGTTTAGATTTTTAAGGGTTGGACTCAAGATAATTCAAATTCGGTTTAATTTCAACTCATTCAAACATAACTCATTTGAAAAGAATTTTCAATTAAGCCCAATTCAATCTACAATTTCAATCCGTTTCAAAACTTTTTACTAAGATATGTTCCTATATGGAAGGTAAGAATTATTATCTATTTAACATTTTTTAAGATTTATCTATCAATTTGTTACTTT